ACACTTCACTCGGAATACAGACTAGACAGAACAGAGGCCTTTCATAAATGGAATTTGTGCTTTCATTTTGCGGGTAAGTGCACCACTGTGCGTGGGCAGAGCGCAGTCAGCTGCATTTAAACCTTAAAGTTGCAGCGAGCTGTCAACTTATTCGATTTTCCTTCCAGTGAGTATGAGTATGGCCTTTACTCAACTCTTAGGAATGTCTCCACTCGTGCGTGTGTGTGTGTGTGTGTTTATCAAAAGACATTTACAACAAGCGCAACAGGCAGTAAACAGCCGAGAAATTGTGTCATAAAGAAAATAAAGTAAGAAGTAAGAATAGCAACAACAAGGGCAGCTGCGAACAAGACGATACACGAAGTTCTGCTGATGATGACTAAAAGTGTGCGTGTGTGTCTGTGTGTGTCTGTGTGTGTGTGTGTGGAAATAAAAACAAACAAATAAATGGCGATCCCAGCTAAAAGCTTGCATCGACCCAACGAACCCAAATCATTTACAGTACCACGTTTCTCAACACTCAATATTAATCATTTTCAAGTGTGAATGATGCAGCGTCGGCAGCGACGCTCAGTGGCTGATTTCCAGGAATGTGTATAAATCATAAATTCACAAAAAATTCGCAATTGCGAGGATACAAAGTATAAGCTGCGATAAGATTAGAGTTCTATAAACATACACATATGTATGCTTACGTATGTCCATTAATACATTAACTTATAAATTTGTATACATACACGTATGTACATATGTATTTGTTATTGAGAGTAGATTTGGTACAATAGGTACATTGGGCTAATCATGCAACAAGATTATCCAATCAGACTAGCAAAACCAGATAAAGATTTATTTAGAGATGGCAGAGAAATTCAATGAATTATTCAAACGCCATCTATCGTCCATGCCTGCAACTACTAAAAAGGTTGGAATGCTAATTAGCTATGTATGCTCATGCCGCCAACGAGAATTGACCTTGAAGTAGTAGGAGCAGCAGCAACATATACAGGGTGTTCGTACAACCGGAAGTATTGGCGTATGGTGGTCTGCACTCACCTAAATCATCCATTGCGCTGTTTCCCTTGCCTTGCCTCGCTGTTGTTCTAGTTCAGGTAATATGTGCGCCTCTCTCTCCGTGCGTGTTGTGTGCGTGATGAAATCTCCAATTGGGCCAAGCGACTAACACAGACTTTTCACAAGTGCCACGCCTTATACAGACAGTTATCATACATACATATGTACAATGTATATTTCCAATTGATATATTTAGGTTCAGACACAAACGCAGTTAATTGACTTAAGTTTTTGATCCACGCAAACAGTTTTTTCCTGTACGACAACAACAATAACAAACACACCGCAGTTTAGAGTCGACAGCGCGACTGGTCGAAGTTTTATCCGTCGCGTTCGCGTTTGGAATTGAAAATATTTTTGCTGAAATGGCAGTGAGCGCTGCTCGCGAGTGTCGCGTAAGTTGGAGACGAGTTTTATATGATTCACTTTAATTTTGGAGCGGCGTCGACCACAAATACGTAGACAGCGCAGACATAAACACTACATGCACACGCACACACACACACGCACACACGGTCGAACAGCTGACCTGGTTATCGATAACTTGCGCGCCATATTTAAATCGTTTTCAATTGTTCGTTTCAGTCAGCAGCCACTATGGAAGCATATTGCACGTCGTTGCTAATCTTGAACGATGATTGCTTGGACAATATATTCCAGTATCTTGCATTGGAGGAGCTAATACCGTTATTTGGCAAAGTTCATCCTGTCATCGACGCTGCCATCGATCGGCAGCTGCACAGATTTCGCCACTTTGAGTTTAGCATGCGTTTTCCCCCTCAATATGACGCCATCCAGTTACTAGCACTTGGCCGACACCTGCAGAGCATCAACATTAATGTGGGCTATTCCGTACGCTCGGACAGTGTGCTGGCCCTGCTGCATCCCCTGTGCGCGGGCGCAGAAGAGGCGGGACGTCTGAAGGCACTCAAAATACAACATGCCAACATTACAAGCGACTATATAAAAGTGATTTCGCTGGTGGCTCCCTTTCTGCTCGAACTGGATCTCAGCCGTTGCGACGTGCAGGAGCCAAGTCAGTTGACGCTGTTCTTACGGTCAGCAACGAAACTAAGGACGCTGGCTCTCTCCAACAGGGATGCGGCTGGACTGGAGAAGTCGTTGCTTGGTCGAATGCAGCTCCTTAAAGTGAATTGGTTGGTGGGCACAGAACTGTTTGATGTCGCATCGGTCAACCAAAGGTATCCGCTCTTGAGCATTATTGTATACCAGAGCAATCATGTGGACGTGTACGGACCACCTGTTGCTAGAAACATTGGATATTTTCACTAATAATATTTGATATTGTTGAAAAATTGTCACGGGTTATCGATTGCATTTCAATTATGGATAGGCTCAATAAATTGTGGTGGCGGTCGATAACATCGATAACATTAACATAACATTTTCGATACTGTTAACTTTTGTGGGTGCCCACAGCACCCAGCTGTTGGTGCTATAGAGTAAAGTGTCATTTACCGGCAATTTGCAGCTGCATTGCAAATTCTGGCGAAATAGTTGTAAATTGTGCAATTATAAGCTTCAAAACAATCAACTTGCGCAGTAGATTTAACAAAGCGTTGCGTACGTATTACTGAAAATGGTCGTCCGACCCTACGTCGAGGAGCTGAAGTATCTGGAGAAGATAAATGACCACTGCTGGCGCATCAAGAAGGGCTTTCAGCCCAACATGAACGTAGAGGGTGTCTTCTACGTGAACAGCCGCCTGGAGAAGCTTATGCTGGAGGAACTGAAAAACTCGTGCCGCCCCGGCGCCGTCGGCGGCTTTCTACCGGGCGTCAAGCAGATCGCAAATGTGGCCGCATTGCCGGGCATTGTGGGCCGCTCAATTGGATTGCCGGACATCCACTCGGGCTATGGCTTTGCCATTGGCAACATGGCTGCTTTCGATATGGATGACCCGCTGTCAGTGGTCAGCCCCGGTGGCGTTGGTTTCGACATCAATTGTGGCGTGCGTCTGCTGCGCACGAATCTCTACGAGAAGGATGTGCAGCCGGTTAAGGAGCAGCTGGCTCAGTCGCTGTTCGATCATATACCAGTGGGCGTGGGCTCTAAAGGCATTATACCAATGAATGCCCGCGATCTGGAGGAAGCACTTGAGATGGGCATGGACTGGTCTCTGCGCGAGGGCTATGTCTGGGCAGAGGACAAGGAGCATTGCGAGGAGTATGGGCGAATGCTCAGCGCCGATCCGGCCAAGGTGAGCATGCGCGCCAAGAAACGTGGCCTACCTCAGCTGGGCACCCTGGGCGCTGGCAATCACTATGCCGAGATTCAAGTGGTCGACGAAATCTATGACAAGTGGAGCGCCTCCAAAATGGGCATAGAGGAGAAGGGTCAGGTGGTCGTCATGATACACTCGGGCAGTCGCGGCTTTGGTCATCAGGTGGCCACCGACGCCCTGGTGCAGATGGAGAAGGCCATGAAGCGCGACAAGATCGAAACCAACGATCGCCAATTGGCCTGCGCGCGCATCAACTCCGTCGAAGGCCAGGATTACTTAAAGGCCATGGCTGCGGCGGCCAATTTCGCCTGGGTGAATCGCAGCTCGATGACCTTCCTCACGCGTCAGGCCTTTGCCAAGATGTTTAACACAACGCCAGATGATCTGGACATGCACGTCATCTACGATGTTTCGCACAACATTGCCAAGGTGGAGAATCACATTGTCGACGGCCGGGAGCGCAAGCTGCTGGTGCATCGCAAGGGCTCCACGCGCGCCTTCCCGCCACACCATCCATTGATACCAGTCGACTACCAGTTGACCGGGCAGCCGGTTCTGGTCGGCGGCACAATGGGCACCTGCAGCTACGTCTTGACCGGCACCGAGCGCGGCATGCAGGAAACCTTTGGCAGCACCTGCCACGGCGCGGTACGTACAGCAGTATTCCAATAAGAAATAATATTAATGCTATTATTATGTGTAACAGGGTCGGGCTCTATCACGCGCCAAGTCGCGTCGCAACCTGGACTACAAGGAGGTGCTGGACAAGCTGGAGCAAATTGGCATTGCCATACGCGTAGCCAGTCCCAAACTAGTCATGGAGGAAGCACCCGAAGCGTACAAGGATGTCACCGACGTCGTGGACACCTGCCACGCGGCTGGCATCAGCAAGAAGTGCATCAAAATGCGACCCATTGCAGTTATCAAAGGCTGAATCCACCGCTACCTTTTCTTACTATATAGAACGATATGCTTGATATTAAGTCGACGGAATATACCTTATTTATTATTGATTCTTCAGATAGCTGAAGCAGGAGATAATAATACAGATGCAAGCGACAGCATATATAAAATTATTTATTTATATATATTGATATCAGGCGAGTCAAGTTAGCCCTGCTCTCAGTTTGGGAGAGATCTTTGAGAGATCTTGCCTGGCAATATTTTTTAAACTTTTTTAAATAATTGAGGCTTGATTGACTTACACATGTAAGTTTTTAGAGAGTCTTCTCGAGAATCCTAAAACATTTATAATAACCCAATAAATTAGACTTCAAATATTTTTGATATACGTGCTAGTAAAAATTCTTTTTTGTCAAATACATTTTTTAGCATTTTTGTAATGTGTAAAAAAATAGAAACAAATGTTTGAAAAACCCTTTGATATCGATTTTTTTAAATCAAACAAAGTTTAAGTATATTAAAAAATGTTTATTTATTTATCTAATGGAAAATACGCTTGCAGATGACATGAGCTGCCAAATTTATCTTTAAAATAGGCGATAAGCCTTGGATATTATCAAAACATTTTCAATCCAAATACCTTTAACATAATTTTCTAGCTTACATAGTTTTCGCCCATAACATAACATAACATAACATTTGTTTACATTTTCAACAGCGCACTAGTTCCGTGAACACGTTATCTGCCGCTCACCAAATCATTCGACAGCTGACTGTTGGTCCAATAGGTCGCGACGCGGCGCGATTGCGTTGAATTTTCAATTTTGAGTGGTTTAATTGTTTGGCTTTTTGAATTGCACATTAATACTCATAATTATAAAAGTGCATGTAATTGGTTGCAGTGCAACACAAATCGTGATTGATAGTGAAAAAAAAACTAGTACCTGCGCAGTTTTTCGAACAATTTGTTTTTGTTACTGAGACAGTCGGCGGCAGCGCAACGTACAGTAAAAATGACAAACATGCGCCCACCGCAGAAATCCAAACTACTGAAGGTCATCATACTCGGCGACGGAGGTGTGGGCAAATCGGCGCTCCTTACGCGCTTCGTCTCGAATCGTTACGAGGAAAACAATTTCCATACGATTGGCGTGGAGTTCATGAACAAGGACATCGCTGTAGACGGCGAAAAGTACACACTACAGGTTAGTTTACCTGACGGTAGGGGGGGTGGGGGCAATTGTATGCTTTAGTTTGATGAGTCAGAATGGGCCAAATCGTGAGCTAGGTTCAGCTCCGGCTCGCACCTTCTTTATTCCAATTGGACCAATTGCTTTCAAAACTTTTCACCGGCATTTCATAACCAGCTCACGTTGTTTATGCACTGCGAGATCCGTTGACATTTGAGCGTCGTGCTTACTATCTGTCTCAGTAGCTGTTCTATTTGCCCTCACTCACACACACACACACACACACACACGCACACTTAATTAACGTACAGTTTAGCATGGCAGAATCCAATACAATGCGGCGACTTTGTTTCATTTCTGTAATTTCTAATGTATATTTGTGAGTGCTGGCCCCTACCCCTCCACACACACACACTCACACACACACACACACACATTTACAAATATGCATATTTCGTCTAGAAAACCCTTCATATAAATTCCAAACGCGCTTCTCTTAAGTTTCTTAAAGTCTTTTCATTTCCGTTGGGAAAGAGTGGAGCGTGGGGAGGGGTGGGGGGCTAGCCCCTTGTTTGTTAACAGTGCACTTTATTTATGCTGTCATTTCCCATTTGAATGCACATTTTCACAGTCCGACAACTTTCGTAGCTTATAAATATGCAACTAGGGTTAGCTTGTGCTGCGAGATGAGTAAACAAACTGGCGCAAAGCGTCAGTTCAATTATTCGAATAATTAATTATAATTGCGCGAATCAATACGAATGACAAAAGATCTCTTGCTGCTGAGTAACCGTAACTAGTAATTGCTTAGCTTTACACACACTTTTCCCACTATTTTCTTTAAACTGGCCCCAGCTAACCGAAGCCAGCAGAAGTTTTTTATGTTAACGCTTCGCTGAGCTTGGGCTGAACAAGAACTGCGCCGCTTCCTGTGCAGAACGAGTTACATATACATAGCTGACTCGCAGACGCCCTCCAGCGGACTGTGTAAATAGTGGGAACAGACAAAGTGCGATTAATCAAAGTGGGAATAGCCCAGCTGTTATATACATATGTACTGTATGCATTTAAATTTCAAGCGAATTCCTTTTTTAATATGCATTGAGAGCAATATCAATATTTGTTTAACAAACAGATATGTACGTAAATATACACACATTAAACTGATTGATGAAATGTTCTTATTTTCTGCTTCTTTTGATAAATGATCGAACCGTAAACTGAAGCTCAGCTTTACGAGCCAAACCTTAGGGCCAGACATGGGTTCGAACCCTAAACTGAAGCTCAGCTTTACGAGCCAAACATTTAGGCCAGACATGGGTTCGAACCTTAAATTGACGCTCAGCTTTACGAGCCAAACCTTAGGGCCAGACATGGGTTCGAGCCTTAAATTGACGCTCAGCTTTACGAGCCAAGCCTTTAGGCCTGACATGGGTTCGAACCTTAAACTGAAGCTCCGAACATTTTTGTTACGCCCCGTCCTGACGGATGGACCTTGTTGATTGTTTTCTTTTAGATGCAATTATTTGAAATTGAAAAAATAAAATATTTAAATAAAATTATTTAAATTTATGGTCGGTAATATTATTTAAAATTCAATAAAAGAAACTGTTTTCCGGACAAAGCTGAGTTATAATTATTTACTAGGATTTTTGAAAAAATTTAATATTTGAATATCCATAAACTACTTAAAACGAAAGATTTAACCTAAAAGCAAGTAAGAGGTTCTAGTCGGGAGCTCCCGACTAGGGGATACCCTGAACCCTCTTCTTCCAACATCAGATGCATATATATATTCTATTTAGCTATATGTCAAGTTTGGGGACTCTAGTTCTTATTATTTACCGAAATTACCCAAAAAAACAGGATATCGATATCGATTTTTATCGATTGCTTGGAAACGGAGTAAGTTATCGATTATCGGAAACAAACTCGATCTGCGCGGGAACTAGGAGCATCTCTAGCTCTTATAGGTTCTGATATCCTAGCGTTCATACATACGGAAAGACGGACGGACGGACGGACATGGCTAGATCGACTCGGCTATTGATACTGATCAAGAATATATATATATTTTATGGGGTCGGAGATGCTTCCTTCTGCCTGTTACATACATTTGGATTTTGCACAACTACAATATACCCTTATACCCGTTTTTAATGGGTTCAGGGTAGAAAATGTGAGAAACTGTTGTAGAAAAGTTTTTGCCGAATTTATTCAAAATAAATATCTAAAGATATATTTAGAAAATTATTTGAAATTTCGTAAAATTTGTATAGATGAAATTTGAACTTTTTACTAACGAGCTTTAACATAAGATTGTCGCATTTTTAATACATCTTTAAATAATATATGAAATATAATTTGATTCAAACAAAGACGGGTAATACCGGGATATTCTGGGTTCCGTATTCCTTTCTTTATTATATCCATAGAAATTTATCTGAATCTTCTAACTAATATTTGTATCTAGTATAAAAGATGAGGATGATAAATAAGGTGTTAGCTACAAATTTCTTCTTCTGATATTCAGTTGAAGCTAATGAAGCTAATGAGACTATCATAAATTGGTCTGATGACAAATATGTTGCTGAAATTCTTGAAGTTTGATTGAAATAGTTTTTGTGATTGAGAAAGAAGGAAGAATGAAAAATAGCTAATTTCCTGTTTGCAAATGTTTTCCGTTCGATAACACACTTTTATGTTTTAATATTATTTATAGGGCTTTTGCTGCAAACTTGTCTTACTTTCTTATCAGCACATTGTTATTAGTCAGAGGTGGACTAATGGAGGGGGGGTAGGGGCTAATGCACATATTCAAAAGTGTGACGCAACTTTGTCGAGCCGAGCTCTATGCATATATTTGCCATTTTCCCATTAGCCGAGCTGCGCAATCAGCGCATGCAAATTTGGAATGGACCTTTAATTGAATGCCAATCAAGGTTTATTGTCAAATTATTTTACTTTACTTACTTTAGATATGGGACACGGCTGGGCAGGAACGGTTTCGCGCCCTGCGCACGCCCTTTTATCGCGGCTCGGACATGTGCCTGCTGTGCTATGCACTGGACGATCGGGACAGCCTGCGCGGACTGCGGCTGTGGCGTAACGAGTTCCTCAGCTATGCGGACGTGAAGGCCGACAGGTTCCCGTTTATTGTCGTGGGCAACAAGGTGAGCAGCTGGGCAGCGTTTAAATGCTGGCGCGTGTTCCAATTTCGCATTATTCACAGAACGACCTGCGGCCGGAGAAGCGACAAGTGAGCTACGAGGATGTGCAGCAGTGGTGCACGGAGCACGGCATTGGCGCACACATTGAGACCTCCTCGAAGACGGCGACAAATGTATCGGACGCCTTTGTGCTCGCCCTGCGCCAGTGGCGGCGCATGGAGTGCGTCGCCGAGGCGGAACAGCGCCAGCTTGGCGACACCATCGACCTAACGCAGCCCATTCGACTGATGCAGGGTCGCCAGTGCTGCACCGGCGGCGGCGGTGGGACGAGGAGCAAGGCAGGCGATGTCGTCAACGAGACTGACGATGATGGGCAAATGGCGGACGCGGCCATGCGTTCGCCCTCCGCCATGTCGCGCCATTTGTTTGGCAAATCGCGCAGTTCGCCAAAGGCGCCAGCGACCAATTACCGACTATGAGCTGGATGTGGGGAGGGGAGTATGTATACGTTTGTTTTTTTTTTCTTGCTGCTTAGCCAGAGGCATTCAGTACATTCCAGCCAAGTGGGTGACAGTTGGTAAGAGTATCCCAGCACAGACCAAATACACATGCAGCAAAATGCGCAAGACACATTTCGAGATTAAGGCGGTAGCGAGTAGGGAGTAACGAACAACGAGTAGCGAGTAACGAGTAACGTGTTACGAGTCCGATGCATATAACAGTTGGATACGTATTACAGTTTGATTTATGACAAGAGGGCAGTGAAGAACGAGTAGCGTGTAACGAATAGCGAGTAACGTGTTACGAGTAGCGAGAAGCAGATGGGTATAACAGTTTGATACGTACTTCAGTTTGACTTATGACAAGAGGGTAGTGAATAACGAGAAGCGTGTAACGAATAACGAGTAGCGAGTAACGTGTTACGAGAAGCGAGTAACGTGTTACGAGAAGCAAGTAACGTTTCACGAGGCAGATGCTTATAACAGTTTGATAATGAAATGAGGTAATGTATTAGAGTTTGACTTATGACAAGAGGGTAATGAATAACGAGTAGCGTGTAACGAATAACGAATAGCGCGTAACGTTTTACGAGTCAGATGCAGTATAACAGTTGGATAATGAAATCAGGTAACGTATTACAGTTTGACTTATGACACGGTACACCACAAGCTGTGTATAAAAATTGTGCCTTGCGAGTGGACGAGTTGACTTGACCATAGAGCCTAAGATAACAAAATTGTTTTTACACCCTAAGCTATTATACAAATATTTTTTGTATGTCTAACAATTATACACGTTATAAAAGAATAGCTTTAAATGACTTGTGCTGAAACAGATAATCTCCCACCAAAAAGATGATATGAACGACATCAATGGTGGCTATTAATTAAATATTTGTAAAACAATATGACTTGCTTTGTATAACGGTATTTTAACCACTTAAAATCTTACCTATATGCCAGAAAATATAGGTAATCTACCTAAAAACTTAATTGTAACGTATTTAAATGAATAAAGTCTACAAATAAAGTGAATTATGTGGAATATGCGAATGTTTCATTAACTTTTCAACTTTTAATATATGTATATATATATATGTATTTTATCAATGTAAGTAATAGTGTAACGTAATAACAGACTATAAGTACGCTTACCCCCATTTAAATATATAAAGTGGATTATTCTGTTAGCATAACACTTACTGCCAGATTTGATCGAAACGATCGCTTAAGACTAAGGCAAACTTCTTGGCTCTAGCACTACGAAACTACTATCGCAAGCGTTGGCTGGACAAGCGTATAACAGATATTATGCTTAATGCAAACTAATTGAGTTTCGGGTATACGAGGGAATATCACTTGCTGTACATATTGCCGGGTCGCTGGGTCCCACTCACTCACTTCTTCTTGTAGCCGTACGAGTTGATGGCCTCGTACTCCGCATCGCACATGAGCAACAGCTCATACCATTGATCGCCGTCGATGCGGGGCAGCTCCAGGATGCCGCCATAGCACGATGGCAGACACTTTGGCGACATGTATTTGTGCAGAGAGTCGCGATCGGTGCCATGGAAGATGATACGACTGCGCAGTTTCTCCCGCAGGAAGGGCTTAAAGAGCGCAAAAACCACATTGAAAATCTTCGGCTGGTTCACAATATGAATCGCCTTGACGCGCAGCGGCACAGACTCCTGCAGCCAGTCCACGATGCGCTTGGCAAACGGCGGCGTAAATTGCCAGGTCTGCTGCAGACTAAGTCCGTCCATGTCGAAAATGACAACGGCCCCATTGATTTGCGTCTCCGGCTCCAGCATGGCGGCCTCCAGAAAAATGACGGCACCCTTGAAGACTTCATCAAGCGTGACCTGCTTGTGCTTCCAGCGTTCTAATTGCAGGAAATTACAGAGATTAAAAAGTCGTAGTCATTACACTGTCCGAAGCTTGGGTCCACTTACTGCCCAGCTCGAGTAACAATATGCGGCGTCCGAGCTGATCGCGATTGGGGAACACGGTGAGTATATTATTTTTAAAGATGTTCGCCTCCCGTGTGGGTTTCAAGTTGTTGTACACATCCGAATGCTTTACTTTGAACGCGTAGTAGCGCTTGATCTGTATAATAAAGTGCACACAAGTTAATGGGGACTATTACGCCAAGCATGAACAACTCACCAAGTCGCGCGCACTCTCTGGATAATACTTGCAGGGCCGCAGGAAGCGTATCAGCCACTCCTCATTGTCCTTGGGACAGTACAGATCCGTCTCGGCTACATGTCAATAAGATATTTATTACAAAAGCTATATATATAGACTCATGGTTGCTGAACAGAGTCCAACAGCGGGCTGCTAATGACCACCAGGCTGATCTCGTTAACCTCTGCGACTATATCAGTGCGACCATCATAAAATATCTGTCTAGCCTCTGTTTTAAAAATACATCTAGCTTGTTTATAGTTGGCAGCAGGTTCACCTGTCCGATTATCGCGCTAGCTACTCTAATGAAGGGGTCGTCTGGAAGGCCAGGAGAAGTCGACTTTGGTCTCATCGTAATTGGAAAACTAAATAAAGGGGCTCTACTATATGATTAGCGACATGCTATACTCTTGACTTTCTTAGTACAGATCATCAATTTAATCTGAGTAGAGAAGACATATTTAAATACTATAAAACCTGACAGGTTCAAAATGAATCTTGTAATGTTTGCATTTAGATGTGACTCAGTCGAACAAGGTGCCGGGCTGGAATCGTAGGCCTGTCTAAGCCACGCCTACTCAAAAAGTAAGGCTCATAACTTTTGCTGCACTTACTACAAATAAATAATAGTAATATTATTAACAATTATAGTAATAGAGAAGCAAAATCTAAAGTGTTTTTTAGATCGAAGAAAATATTTCTAGGAAATAACAAAAAATCCCAACTTTAACATTCATGATAAACTTTATATGCAGGAATGTGGAACTGCATGTGATTAAGTTTTATCCCTAAGCAAAAACTAACCTTTAGTTATTAACTAAAGCAAACTCCGAAAACAATCTGTAATTCTTTAATAATAGAACTTGGCCTTCTAAGAATAAATTTCTTAGTAATGCAATTTATTGATAGTTTTAGTTTATTCTTAGTTCTTTTCCAGCTGAATCATTTTGAATTTCTCGAAACCGCAAAAACACAAACTGATTCAGGGGAAGTGTTTCTTTTTCTATTGGAATTTCCTTGGTACGAGAGAAATAACTACACGTAGTTAAGAGATTAACATGCCGTACTCTAGAGCTCGTTCATATTGAGAAACGCCGGATAAGACTGATGCGAAATCAGCTTGTGTTCATTGGGCAAAACCCTACCGGATAGGACTTACCCTCGAGCAATCGCTTGAGTTCCTGTGTCGCCTGCTTTTGGCGCTCGGGAGATTCGCGCAGCTCCCGCTCGGCCACCTCCTTGGCGGTTGGGGTCGCGTCTCCTAGCTCGAACTGTAGCGTAAAGTCGCCCAGCTGGATCGAGGGCAGGGCATCGATGTCCGACAACATGGTGGGCACTCCTGTAAGACAAAAGTTGGAGCGAGTGGGGCACAGGTGAGTATTCAAATTCAATTAGTGCACGTAACGAGAAGCGTGCGCTTTGATGCCCAGCTCGACGAGACTTCACAAAATCAACTGACTATTTGCTCAACAATTATTTGATTATATAAGATCGCTGTAATTATTACTTACTCATGCTGGCAGTTGTAGTTGTTATTGTTTTGGTTTTTTTTTTTTATTTGAATTGTTTTTATAGCTGAGTAAGAGATCACAAGTATTTGGTTTGCTGTATAACAGATTGTGCACTTTATTAGTTTTAGATTGATTTTAAATTATTTGTTAAACCGGCTTGCTAATCGGATCATTGAAACTGCATTTAAAACAATGCAGGCCGATTCGTTTCGCTGCCTATCATCCGGTTATTTCTTCTTTGTTAACTTGACCTTAACCTTGACATTCGCTTTTTCGCGAATAATCGACTATCAATACGAACGGAAGCTGTATAACAGTAGGTATATTCAGTTCGTTCGTCTCGCTAACATTGACATTAGAATGCAGTTGCCTTGAAGATATTTGCAACGAAGATCTTGAGCTGGATTCTCGAATTCAACTGGTTCTACTTGATTAAGTTCTGATTGAATTTGTATTGAAAACAAGTTTTCAATGTTTCTAATTACGTAAAGATATTGATACAAAAAACCTACTTATTTGAAAAATGATGTCAGTATTTTTATGAAATAATATCGAGAGGAAAGTGTTTAGAAGATTGTCCACTGCAGACTTTAATAGAATGTATTCAAATGAGAAGAGACAAAATAAGCATGGGAATACTTAGACTCTCAATTCTCAGTTCTTTCAATTAGATAGGTCGGGAATCATATGCATCAATTGCGAAACGATCAAAATTCCAAAGTTTTGGCAAATCCCAAAACGAGTAGCTACAGCATTAACTTATGAATAGTTAATCGTATAATCGTATAATTTATATAGTACACACTCAGCACAACAGCAAAACAAAACACAACACAACTTAAACTTTAACTGAAACTGAAACTGAAACCGAAACCAAAAACGTAAAACTTGTTTTGGGAACGACAACAAAAATCGGACGGAGCAACAGGCGACGCGTGCAACGGAACCGAAAGAGCTGACGAAACTGTTGCGGCCAAAAGCGCGTTATGATGATTTTATACCAGGCCAAGAATCAAAAACTGGAAACTAACAGAGAGCCAGGCAGACCGAAAGCTGATCTTGAGCATGAGCGGGAGAAGAGACTGCGAGTGCGAGTGAGCTGGAGTTAAGAGCGAGTAAGAGAAACTAAAATGCATTTTGGGAAATTATGCCACTGGAAGCTGGGCTTTATAACAGTTGATCAGCTATTACCGTTGTTGTTGTTCTCCCACAGCATCTGGGTAATTTATGCAGCTACCGTTAGCAGCACATACGATGTACATATGTATGTATCTGTGTCTGTATCTGTGCCTTGTATCTCAGAGCCCGACCCTCAGGCTTTGCACTTTCGGTTCAATGCCAGCCGCCCGCCCAGTTTAAGTGATACCCAACAATTAGACATTAGCTGGTAATTACACCTGTTTGACAACATTGCCATTGCTCGCGTATGGCCGACACGTTTCAGGCAACACCCCAGCCATGGGCATGGGACAAGTTGTTTCGGCTGCTTTTTCGACTAATCGACGGCAACACGTGCGTGGTGCCTCTTCGAATCGCACCTTCCATTCATTAGTTTTCAGGTGTACGACTCTCGTTTTCTTATAAGTATGCCGTTTTATTAGCTGTCGAGCAAGGTTTCTTTCTGTTCGCTGACATGTCTTGAAGCAATGAGTTGCAAAGAGTTTGGATATACGATATACATATACATATTTGTATATATTTTTTGTAACATTAAGCAATTTGTCTAGTAGTTTGTATTGTACATTTGTTCACTTTTAAGTATGACAAAAATAATCAATCACAATCGAGAATCAATCTGGGAATTATTTAAAATATTGAAAATGTTCTTACTAGAAAATAAGGGAAATATGTTTTGTGATTGAACCATTTTCATTTCGTATAAAAATTCCCAACTCATTTATTGTAGAAACGTTAAAGAATTCTACGTTTTCAAGCACCTTGAAAACTTTTTTTCAATATTTTACAGTCAGTGGTTTTTTTTCCGGTTCTTTGCAACACTCAAAAGCAGAAACGAGGGAAAACCATGGCAAGCAACTCGCGCGCCGATCGTAAAGATGGAGATGTCAAGCAGCTCTGAGGTCAGAAATCTTGGCGAAAATAAAAATAAAAACACAAAGGTACAATACTATGTACATGACAAGGGCAAGCCCAAGTCCGCTTTTAAAAGTGCTTTAACCTTACGTGCCAAAAAGGTATTACAAAAGTCATACATACATACATACGTATGTACATATGTATGTATGTGTATGCATACAAGCAACCATGTACATCTGTCTCACCTGAAGCAATGGCGACCGCATCGGAGGCGGCAACCGAAGCGACGGCAGCTGTTGTCCTAGGCAAGCAGCTTGTTGCAGTTGCCATAACGAAAAATGCACAATTCGATTTTGCTCGTCGCTCGATATTGATTTAAAAAATTAATAATGTTCAGCGATATGCATGCATTTGCCGCTGCACTTGAGCGGGAACAGCTTCACTTATCGCTTTTAGCCTGGAAGTATGTCAATGTCAATCGTTTATTGAACTTTTCATGCAAAATTTGCACTGTTTGCTTGGTTTGCTTTAAGCTTGTTTCCCTCAAACGCAGCGACACGATTCCAATGGCCCGTTTACAAGAAAGAACAGTTTCGAAGTCGACGTCGACGTCGACGCCGAAAGCAATTGCAATAGAGAGAGAGAGAGAGAGGGAGAGCAAGCACATATGACAGCTTGGCAGTGCTGGCAAGCGTGCAAAGGCAACGAGTTGCGAGAACTGCATTTGATGTCGTGTGGGGACAGTGAATTTCTGCTCTGCATTGGGCATAGGGACAAGCACAAAAGAAACAAGAAGAGGAGGGCGCCAGTAACGCAGCCAAAACAGAATGCGAAAAGAGCGCACGCATCAGCGCATCAGGAAACTTAAATAACAGTTACAGTAGCTAAATGTAGAAAAAGAAAAAACTTACCAATATTAAATACAGGCGCAGTTTATTTCGAATATTTCAGTTTGATATTCTTAGACTGTGTTTTCCTTTGATGTAATTGAGTTGTGTATCTCAGGCTAAGCTTTCAAGTCAGGTCTAGCTCAGTAATAGCGCGTTTAAAGACTGAAAATATAAAGCTGTTTATTCAACAATTTTATACCCGCGTCGTATGTGTATCGAGGTATGGCGAGCGGTATTTAAGAAGTAATGTACAAAAGCCATAAATATACATACATATGTATGTATATGTGTGCACACACAAACACATTCAAAAGTAAAACACTGTGATTTATTATGGCTAGTGTCAGCATTTTGGAAAGTGCATGCTTGGTTAACTGTTATACAGTGGCTTACGTTGAAATTTCGAAGTTCTTTGTTTTTGCTGCTGTTATACCAAGGAGAAATGCAAAAAAAAAACGCGGCACAGGGCTAAGGTCAATGTCAAATACACACTTATGCAGGCCTTTTAAAAACTTTTTTATACATCTTGCATTCAACACTTGGCAATAAAACGCAACAATCGGTATTTTCACAACTGTTATACCTGCCCGTTAAACTGTTATAAGCTAATACGCTTGCCTTTTTAGCACAGTGTAATCAGTAGACGTAATTATAGTTGAACTTTTGAACGCTCAATCACAAACCCACTCATTACGCATAACCCGTATTAGACTAATCAAGAGTCTGAGTAAGATTCATATATGGTATATACATATATATAGATGCACATATACTGGGTATATATATATATAGTATTATATATGATATAAAACCCGTTGTAAGTCTCAAACACGTCGCTTTAATATAAATGCTGCCCGGGTTCGAAATCTAAGTGTTCGCACTCTGTTTAAATAGTTTTAACGCTTAGCACTATTTCTTAATTAACTGCCTAAAAGTCGAGCCCAAGTCGAACGATCCAACGACGACTTGCGTGTCTACGTTCAAATGTACAACTGACGATAATGCAAACTCATTGTCTTTACGTTCGAGCCGTGAGCAATTAATTAAGTATTTCACTTGTGTGCCCGAAAAAGAATTCAATTTCCATTTGTGCCTCGCCTGAGCGCCTAGCCCCAGCCCGCCCGGCAGTCGGTCAGACGATACGTCAGCTTTTAAATTTCAATGGAATTTCGCACCAGCTGCTGCTCAGTTTTAAGGGCAATTCACTTAAACAAAGTTTTGCAATTCAGAAGAAAAAAATGTTTTTAGTTATTTGTGTGAGTGCAGGTAAATATTGACAGTTCTAATCAATTAACCAGTTGCATGCAGCTAATCACTTACGAACATTTGTTGATGGGCACACTCGACAATTAGAAAAGTTAGAATCGGTTGGTGAACATGTCTTTACATGTATTTGACTTGATGAGTTTATCTGCGTCTGCTACAAGTGCTAAAAGCTGATATACATTTGAGAGTCCATTAATATAATTACACTTATACATTATATATAAATTCTAAGTATCTAAGCTAGTTGCTAATTGTATGCGCAGATCCAGCACATGTTTCGTATCGCTCAAGATTTCATAATTTCTGGTATTGTCAATACTTATACAGAGTATAATTAACTAGACGCATAAGTAATTACATTGTGCTTTGAATAGTCGTTACAATTGTTGCTAAATATTGCTTACATAACTCTAAGAAAGCGTTATTAAGTGTTAATATCATGGCTTAAACTAACTAAACACGTATTACTTACGAGAAATCACTAATATGTCAATGATATTCAATGCTAAAGTCTTTAGTGTCTTTCACGAGTTGTTTGCTTGATTTTAAGTACATATCAGAGCTAGATAAACTATATACAATATTGAAAAAAACATAAAATAAAATAAAAAAATGTATAACCTGATATATTAAAGGCTTCCCTTGAGCTTTAATCTACCATATCGGGTTCTGTGTTTGGTCTTGTAACCCTTGAATTTCCAATACGATCATTTTGGCCGAATTTTCTCATACATAAACTGTTGCAAGTGCTTATTATCGGGCTGCATGAGCTTTTTCTTGGTAAATTCAAACTGCTCCAGGGCAAACTCATACAAATCGTTCTCCATTTGCCAAATCTTTGATCTTTGTATGGTTTGTATAGTAGATTCGCTGGGCGGTAGCTTCGATGAGGTCACACGTAAATGAGATTTATTGGAGTTTTGATAGTGCTCGCGAAAGCCTTGGAAGATTCTGTGGCAAAGAAGAAATTTGAGTTGCGCTGTTTTCGATTAGTAATAACCGATTTAAGCTCACCTGGGCAGTGATCTCTCGAGGAGATCCACAAATTCGTACATTTGCTCTGTGACACCGACTAGGAAATATTCATTAACCAAATTTTGCTTGGCCTGTTTCAAGGCCCAGTCGCTGCCGGGTTCCCAGCACTCGGCAGCATGGCCACAAAAGAATGGAATTTGTAGCCACATATTTCTGGGATCGCAGTCGGGTTGCTTTTGAACCACGCATTCATCGAAGGTCTTCATTTAGAACATAGAACTCAATAACGATTACTGCATTAAAATGTTATTTTTAAGAACTTACTATTTTATTGCCCGCCTTCTTGCGCACCAGATTCGGCCGATAATTATCACCATAGCGCAGAAAATAATAATATGAGACAAGCCTATCCAATGGCTTTCGCACCAGATTTATATAGATGGGTTTGTGTGCGATCTGGAATCTGCCAAATAGATACATTATATATAATAAATAAATAAATATCAAACATATGTAAGATATGCCAAATTTACTTGGAAAAGTCCAGAAATGCCATGTGCCCGTGATATAGGGCTGGCTTCATTTCATGCCACCTGGTCACATTTCGTACAAACGAGATCTAAGGAAACAAAATGCATTGATTAATATTTTGCCTGGAGACGAAATCGATGGCGACAACCGAGAAACGGACCTGATTAGGCAGCGACAGGACGTGCATGTTGGCAGTCACATTGATATGCAAGACGTGATATCTGTTCTGCTTGCACAGATCATAGGCTATGTTCACGAAACTGGTTGAGCCCGTCTTTGGCACACGATTGTACACCACCACCAGTTGGTCCTCATAGTCAAAGTTGTCCAGAGTGGAAATATTCCGAGCGAGAGACGAATGCTCCGTTTCCTTGCCGCCGTTGCCTGTAAGTTTCGACAGGGGCTTAAAAGCTATATGTATACAAAAATATGTTATGTTTTTGTATGAAGCAACCGATTTAGACGGGAATTCCACAACCAACCGTGCTCCAACCGGATCTCCAGCAGCCAATAACAGGTGACGACGACGATGACGGCAAATACGAGCCAGTGCCCCGGACGCATTACAGGCAACATTTTGCGCAATTTCTTAAACATGCTGCTGCCGCCTAGAGCTGACGTGTTCTTTAATCTTTTAAGCCGTCATAGCACATTTTTCAGCGTATTATTTTAGCCAAATTTCGTGATATTTTCCTGCATTTCGGTCTCCTTCACTCGGTGGGCTGCTGACTATAATGTTGACCAGCGCAAAAAAAACAGCTGTATTTACCTGTGTTGTAAAGTGTTTATTGACAAAATGTTATCGAGTATAAAGTTAACGGATATAATGGTAGTAAAAATGTACAAGACTGATGCACTGCTACTTAAAATAAAATAACTATTTTACAATTTTGTCCTTATTAATTAAATAATTCTAATTAAATTAATTAATTGAATTTAAATAGTTGCTTGTTACGATATATACTATTACTAATGCGTACGTAATGACTGGAATTCTGTTTCAGATTTGACGAGTTTCAGCTTAAGAGCAAGATGGCGCTAGTTTTCGATAGTGTGAAACTATCGATAAGAAATTTTACAAAGCTGCGGCGCAACACACACACAAAACAGCTGATGGCACGTCATAAATAGACGCTCGGGTTTTGTTAGTAAACTGTAACTGTAGCTAAAACAATAAAAAGAGAACCTCTCGAAAAGCCTGTAAAATGTCTTCAGCGATATATCTGGAAAATTATTTAGACGGTATCCAAAATTACAAAAAGAAAGTGTCGTAGCGGGCTCTCATATTTTGTGTCTCACTAGGATTGGAATCGCTGCCCACTGAACTGGAACGGAACTTCAAGTTGATGAGAAAACTGGATGATCGGGCGCAAACGGCGATGAAAAGCATCGACAGTCATGCAAAAGATTTCATGCGCAAACTAACCGCTGAGAATGGTGCGATGAGCGAAGAGGAGCGCAAGGAGCGATTGGAGGACATAAAGGCGCTGTTTGGCAAGGCCAAGGAGTACAGCGATGACAAAGTACAGCTGGCCATACAAACGTATGAGCTTGTGGATAAACAAATCCGGAGGCTGGACAACGATCTGGCGCGCTTCGAGGGCGAAATTCAGGAAAAAGCTTCGTCAACGCGCGCCAAGTCCGAGGAGGCAGTAGCCAAAAGTAAGTAAACAAATTTTGCTCATGTCTATTTTCTTATTCGCCAACTATTTGCAGAGGGAGGCCGTAAGAAGACCAAGGACGGCAAGGCGACGGGCAAAAAGAAAAAGCCAGCCTCCTCAGATGAGGAGACCGGGCGTGGCAATCAATCGAACAGCGCCAGCGGGGCTAATCTCAACGCCAGCAGCAGCGCTGGTCAAGGTAGCAAAAAGAAAAAGACCAAGGTAAATCAAGAAAAAGAAACTCGCAAGGGGGGCGCCCAAAAGGTAAATCATCTTCATCAACATTATGCATTTTCGTCTTGTTATGATTGTTGCTCTTTCCCTAAAAGTATATAGTTATTTTTTGTGCCTGGTAGCCCACACAGTAGAAAACCGCAGAATCTACACGTTCGTGTACTTGCACTTATGTTCCCCTCCATTATCCTCTTATAGTGGTTATATATTATAATCAGTGTTTGGCCGTTTAATTGGTTTTGCATCTTTCATTTACATTTCACCTCCTTGCATGAACCCTTCTGAGCTCGACATTTACGTAAGCAGTTATTAACGTTCATTTCCGTTTGCGGTTTACCAACAGAAAACGGCTGATATTGATGACTCGGAGAAGGAATCTTGTCACACGGCCGCAACACATCCCAGCGATGTCATGGATATGCCTGTGGATCCGAACGAGCCAACGTATTGCCTATGTCACCAAGTCTCCTATGGCGAGATGATTGGCTGCGACAATCCAGACGTACGCTTGCTCCTCATTTATTGCTTTATTTAGTTACTTATGTTTTTTATTCTCTTCCTTTAATAGTGTCCCATTGAGTGGTTCCACTTTGCCTGCGTGGGGCTAACCACAAAACCAAAAGGCAAATGGTTCTGTCCCAAGTGCACGCAGGACCGTAAAAAAAAGTAGACTAACAACCATTTGCCCCAGACTTCACCATGTGGCAACGAATTGCGTTTGGCTCAATGCTGCAGCCACTGTGTCTGTCAATGTAAATAATCTGCATATAACGCCAATTAGTTCTTAGTTTAGCATAAGTATTACGTACTTTAAATAAAAATCTTTCTATTTCATATAACACGTTCACTGAGTTCAGTGTTGTTATTGTATTCAGCCAATTTAAAGAATGCCAGCTTCGAGTTAAATAGATGACGGAATAGAGGAAAACAGCTGCATACATCCTCTGCTGCTTTAGATAATATCCTTTTAAGTTGCTCTTCCTTGTTTCATTAAAATGCAAGTTTACTTTCATGAGAGCAGTTATAAAACGTTTATTTTATTGACTGCCATTCAATGTTTACACGTCGATTTAATTTGTACAACAGTTTAATAAATTATATTTTAAAGACCGACAAAGTAACATGTTCCCCGTTAGATCAGAATTATACAAAAGTTTTAATCTAGATATAAATATATATTACAATTAGTCATTTGCCGTTAAAATTAGGGTGCAACATTATCGGTAAGCTAGTGGGTTTGCCGTTTAACTCCCTGAAAATGGATGCGTATATCAATAACTTGATGCTTCTTAAAATAAGATATTTCATTCGGTAGAACTCAATTAGGATATTTGTTTGTGAATAATTCGTATCAAGGTATTTAATATCTACGATTTGCGAATAGTACAGATCAGCTATAAAGTCGTATCGGTGAACTAAGCTCAAAACAAAATAATAATAAATATTAAATACAGTGTTGAATGTTGCTGCTGAGAACCAACCACGGAATACAGGGGGCTAATAAGGACGTTTTAATTTTCATCATCGTCGTTATGTGCGTTCAGATTTTGCTATTCAGTTGCTGACCTACTTTTTGGTCATTATCTTTAGATACTCCAGGGCATTCTGAGCTGCATGTCGCTGTGCCTCAGAAGTTGTTGACCCAGTGCCATGGCAAACGCCGACTGGCAACGTGGATAACTGCACCAGGCACTGAAACTGGCCGCTGAACGTCCTCTCCTCAATGTCCACGTAGGTAACCTCGAACTGATTCTCGACAGCAATCTCTGAAAGCAGCTTGATGTAGTCAATCTTCGAGCTCTTGAGACAAGTTTTCTGTAAAAACGAAAAATGTTTAAATATGCAATTTAAGGCTCATAAGAAATGTGTTGTGCTATTTATCAAATGTACTAAACGCGTCAACAGGTGCATCTCTGTCAGCAACTTAATTTACCTGTAATTTGAGCAGTTTTTTGCCCGTCGCATTTTTCAATGCCTTATGGAACTGGGACACTTTATTACTGTGTTGCGTGGTCAGTGTTGGCACAGTGATATCTTTCAAATCACCATAATAATTATCGTTAATGCGGGGCTGTAAATAAGAGCGCAATGTTTTCCTTTAATACGCACAAATTCTCGCCAATGGTGAGTTGAAACATATCACAAACATTCAAAACAAAAACCAAACAAATATATATCTACACAAATTTGGGACAAGACTGCCTAATATTATATATATAGTAATTAGATGGAGCTAATATATGTCAAATATGAGGAGGTAAATATATCAAAATAATATTTTAAACAACTAAAACAAACTTATTTGTTCAGTTATCAGCATACATAGGATCTAGATTTCTAGTTAAAATTGTTAGTAGAATTAGAAAAATGATAAACGTAAAGCAAATAAAATCACACTTAAATTTGGACGTAAAAGTATCCATAACTAAATATTATATTTATTCTTAGGTCTTTTGCATGGGCAATTGGCCCGTTTATGTGATTGCTCGTTAAGGAATTAGTCTAAAAATCATAAAGTATTAACAAATGAAAGCACTGCGTGTTATTTATGTTTATGGTTTAATCTAATTTCTATTTTGCATTTGTCTAAGAGTCAGTTCGTTGTTAAACAAGGAGAAACATCACAACAATAACAAAAGCATCGAAAACTAAAGATGGTTTGTCGTTAGTTATAAATAGAAAACGTGAAAATGGATTAGCTCTAAATATCAATTATGTTTATAACTGGGGAGATGCGCTCGTAAAACCGTCTTGGAGTAAGATTATTCGACATTACCGGCAGCTGCACGGCATCTACAAGCGGTAATTTACTCACATCGCCCTCCAGTTCGCTGCAGATGCTGTCATTGATCTTGGCAGCATCAATGGGCGTCTCCTGCAGGCGTGTCCACATCTTATGGGCCGCCAAACGTTTGGCAATCTTCTTGCTCTTGCCCTTGCCCACCTCACGAAAGTTCAATATGGTGCACGCAATGGTGAATAGGCGCTCGTGCGGCAGGCCCACCTCTGTCTCCGTTTCGTACGATGGCGGCGGCCAGCGACGTTGCATGCACATTTCCTGCAGCCAGCCAATGGGATTGCCCACAATCTTATCGCCTCCACTGTCAGGGAATAATGTATATGAAAAATTGCAAATTTAAAGGCATTCAAATATATAATTCGGCAGCAATAATTACTCGCCGCTGCCAGTGACATTGGCGTTTCCATCGCCACCGCTGCCTGCCATTGAGCAGCCAACTGCCGCCGCTGCTGCTGCTGCTGAATTGCCCTGCGACTCCAGCTGGACTCCAATGAGCTTGTCGATTAGAGCGCGAGCTGCCGCGTGCTTGGCCTCCTTCTTGGAGCGACCAGCGCCCATGGCTGTGAAGGGCGTATCCTTGTCCTTGAACGAGACCCGAAACCGAAACGTCGGCTCATGTATAGCCCCCTCAATCTGTACCAGCTCGTAGCCCGGCGTGATGCCGCGCCGGCTCAGCAATTCCTGTAATATGCTGACGGGCGTCTTCATTGTTAGCCCGTTGGCATCCGTTTCGTTGACAAACTTGAGCGTCTCCTCAGGTGGCAGCATGCCGGTGCTGCTGGCACCGCTCAGCTCCGACAGATGTTGTTGTTGCTGTTGCAGCGCCTGCAGCTGTTTCTCCTTCTTGATTTTCGGCCGCTGCATCAATGCCGGCTTTGCCATCGAGGAGCTGCCAACGCCAGCAGCCCCATTCGCCAAACAGGCAGCCGCAATGGCAGCAGGCGAATTGCCCATGTTGTCATACTGGCGACGCGGTGCAAATCCTGCCTGCATGGCCTGCTGCTGCTGTTGTTGTTGATGATGTTGATGATGTTGTTGTTGTTGTTGTTGTTGTTGTTGCTGCTGCTGCTGGAGGTGTTGCAAGTGCATTTGCTGGTCATGCAAATACTGTTGCTGCTGCTGCTCATGGGAAAGATAGCTTTTCGGTTCCATATTCAACGTTATTAGTTATAGACTCTGTGTATCTGAAAATGAATGCAACGTTGCTTAGAAAAAATCAATAAGTTCTCTGGAAACAGGCCTCAACTGTTGGCAGCGGTCAGCTATTTGAAGCGGTAACTACTTACGGTTGATTGGCGGTTTTGTACTGTTTTTTATTTAATAATAATTTATTAATTGTTTATTAATAATTCATTCTTAAATAAAAAATACAGCAAAATCCAGACGCACACACGATATCTGCGTATATATGTATTTGTGATGCTGCTGTGTTGCCGTATTTATTTAAACTGACAGCTCGCCCTGTGGCAACGCTGATTTGGGCCAAATACTGAATGTCAAACGATAAGAAGAAGAAAAAGAAGCGCGCAAGTTCATATTTTTAAATATATTTTATTATTGTGATTGGATGTTGCTGCATAATTGTTGTACATAATATATATTTATATAATTCTTTTAATTTGTATAATTAATGCACGGGAAATATGCATACAATCAAATCAAAACTGAATGCATGCGTATGTGTGTGTGTGTGTGTGTTTGTGGAATTTGTAGCTTTCGATTCTGTGACATTTGCTGCAGGTATTCCGAATCAACAAAAGAACAGTATTTCTAATCCATATTATCGAATACAGCGTGTGCTCTGGATAGCTATTGCATCTAATCATCGCTCAGAAAGTCATCATCTAGATTTACATCTGTCGTATCTATGTTATCATCCAACGTAATGCCATCAATCTCCAGATCTAAATCATCGTCATCATCCTCACTAACAGCAACCGCGGCAGCCTTTGTGCTGCTTGTTGTTGTTGCTGTTGTTGTTGGCAAGGACATTGGAACAAACGCCGGCTTCTCCTTTTCCTCTAGCTGACCGGCACCGCTCTGATGCTCAGCAGCATGTAGTTCCTCAAGTGGATTTCGTTCGCTATTCAATGGCAGCTGTCCCGCCAGACGGGCTGGCACTTTGCGCGCTCGCTCCTCCTGCAGATGTTGCTCCACGCGCAACGCATCGCCCAGGCCCGGAAAGAGATTTGTATACTGCGTTGGATCGGCCAGAGATTGGCCTGCCTTCTCGTTGACCTTGCCCAGCTCCTCGCGCCAAAGTTCTACCACGCGCGACATTTGGCTGGGCAAATAAGTGCGCGCAAAGAAGGCTGCCTCGGGCAGACGATTTGTCTCGATGAGAATCTCTAGGCAGCGGTCCACATCGGAACGAAGAAAGGCGGATAGGAATGCAATATTATGGCGCCCTTGAGCGGAGCTGGTTGCACCTACCTCCTCCAGCATCTGTGCATCGCCTGAGGCAGTCGAGAGCAGCAGTAATCCACTAAAATCGTTTGCCTTCTGCATGCACTCCTTCACCAAGGCCATGTTGTTCTTGCGCGCCGCAACATCGGCCAGCTGGGACCATTTCTGTGAGTTCTCCGCCTCGCGCGCCAGTTTCAAAGCGATATCCAGCTCGCCAATTTGCAGCGCCAAATCGAATTTGTGGTCTGCATCGGTGGACACTTGCAGAGCCTGCTCCTTGAAACCCTGCTTCTCCAAGAAGTGCGCGACTCGCGTGCGATGCTCTTTCGGTATGGTGGGCAGCACAAGATCGGCGCGCTCAAAATCTCGACGCATCACAGCCGTCTGGTACTCCAGCACGGACAAGTGTAAGCAGAAGCTGATCACGTTCAGCTCTTTATCTCCCAAATACAAACGATTGTCCTTGGGAACATAGCCCAGCAAGTACATGGTTCGGTCCAAATGCGAAATGGTCACAATCTCTCCACCCACATAGTAGTTGATGCGATTCACGGAATTCGTGTAAATGAAGCAATCGCCTACCCAGAGACCAGTTTTGACCGACTCAGATACTTCGCCTGCGGATAAAAACGGGGAATACGAATTAGACTTGACATTTAAAGCAAATTTCAGAAAAACTATTTCTCAATATCAACTGAAATCCAGAGATTATCATAAGAAATTAGTTTCACATATTTTAAACATACCGAGCACATTAAAAGCGCTTTCTACGCCATCATCCTCCAGTCCCTCCTTTGTCTCCAGCGCATTGGCAATTTGTGCCGCATCCACGGCCAATATAAAGTAGGATTCATCGGTTGCCAGGCAAACAAGACTGCCGCTCTCATTCCAGAATACATTACGCGGTTGAACTTCAATGCGGCGCACTAACTGTAATGACTCCCAGTCGTAAAACGCCAAGCCCGACGAGGTCTTCACGCCAAAGTAGTAGCCGCCATAAATGCTCTCTGCGCCGTATTCGGGTGTGAAGCTTTTGCGCTCCTTGAAGTTCCGAAACAGACGCACAGTGCCATTGTTCTCACGAATAGCGTACTCATTGCTTTCCAAGGCCCAGACGAACTCTTGGGCCGAGCCAAAGGCCTTGTTTCTCAACGCCATAGACGTGTAGATTATGTATTCGCCATCACCACAAACCACCACAAAGCGGCCGTTGGGATTGTGTGCTATGGTCTGCGGATATATCTCGCACGCACCCATATCCTTTACGGCAACAGGCAGACGCTCGCCATCCTTAATCTCGGTGCCATCGGCAATTGTTTTCAGATTGACCTACAGGTGGAACTTATATCAAATACGTGTACAATTATTTAAAAATACCAATTACTTTTTACCTGTTGCATTTCGGAATGTTTGGCCCAAATGATTTTGCCGCCCACCACGTCCATAGACATGGCCGGTTCCTCGCGCCCGACCTTGATAATGATGGATCCCTCGTCGTATCCCAGGGCTACATTGTTGGTGCCACGCATGCTGGCAATGGTCCAGACGCGCTCAAAGCCATAGTTAAGACAGGTCTCCAGCCGATAGGTGCCGGAATGCCAAATGCGCACGGTACCATCTTCCGAGCCGGTCAGCAAAATGGGCAACTCAGGATGGAAACAAACTGCTGAAATGTTTTGTGCATGCCCCTCGAGTGTTTGTACACAGGTCTTGTTCTGATAGTCCCAGATCTTCACTAAGCGATCGTCGGCGCCAGAAATCAGATACGGCTTGTCGCCGCCGTGATAATAGTCTACACAATTGACGCCCTTCTCGTGCCCCTCCAGCGTAAAGTTGGCATAATTGGAACCCAGCTGCCACACCTTAACGGTGCGGTCCAAGGATGCGGAGGCAAAGGTGTTGTTATCCTTGGGATTGAACACAATCTGCATGACATAGTGCGTGTGGCCTTCAAAGGTTCGCTGGCCAGCCCACAGTTTCTCCCAGTTCCACAATTTGATAAGCATATCATCTACAAGATGATAAAATCATTATATGCTTGAATATAATACGTGGTCACATGGAAAACAGTTTTGATAAATGATATCTGCTTTAAGACTGTACAAATATATATATATATATCTGGAAAATAATCAAAAGCAATATTAAGGCTTTCTTTTGTTATACCCCTTTGCAAAATTGGATTAATTAAACCCTGTTTAGGCATACGAAATCTCAATAAACAACTACAACTTAACTAAACTCAATTAGGTCATCCCACTGTTTGTTTATGATTTTCTATAATACACGTATCTTATTTTAGAACTATTCAAAGTTATGTTATGAGTCAAAGCTTTGTTTTATGGCTGGGAAACATACCGCTGCTGGTCAGCACCAGGGGCTGTGTGGGATGCACGGCAATGCAGCGCAGGTAGTCCGAGTGCGCCTCGAAGGAGTGCACCTTCTCCAGTGTGTTGTAGTTGAAAACGCGTATTTGCATATCATCCGATCCGGTAATGATCCAATTCTTGCGCGCCACGAACCGAGCGCAACGCACAGGCACATCGCATACCTCGAAATCTTTGACCAATTGCTGGTTCTCATAATTCATGATGTGTACGTGGCCATTGTATAGGGCACACAACATCCATGGCTCGGCCGGATGCAGATCCACGCACTTGACACGGTCCGAGCGCGACGTCAGGCGACGCTTGATGTCCAATTTAAGGGGCATCTTTATATTGGCAGAGCTTAACGTTTTATAATATCCTACTACAGCTAATCAAAACCAAATCCACTGCGGCGAGATTGTAAAAAACTTGCTGCTTCTTCTGCCTCTTGTTAATGTGTCAGAGCTATGGGACAGTGTTGCCAACTGCCACGTACATTTGACAGCGGTGCATTTAGTGTTCGATTCGTCGTCTTGTGCAAGACTCGGTTTGGTACATGAAATCAACGAACCGACCAAAAACAAACACTATTAAATAATTATTATTTATACGACTTCAAATACATTTGGTTTTTTTAAAGTTACTAATATTACTCAATTAAATGTACTTTTTAATTTTCGCTGACTTGTGAAAATTAACGTATAAACATGGTGTACGCTCCAAGAAACAGTCTTCAATGCGATGTGGCAACGCTGCGGCTAAACGCTGACGTCTTCATCGGCATTTTAAGTTGCAATTGTTGCTCTGTAGAAAAGAAAGAGATATGCATTTATTACATTAGTTAAACATCTTAAACGTATTGTTAAATTAGATAGTAACCCTCATTAAGTTTAAAGTGCAAACATAATGTCGAGGCACCGTCAGTTTATAATGCTGATTATGCTCCTGTTGCTGGCACTTGTTGCCGCCAAATCGAAAATCTCCGCTGTGCAGGAGGACATAATAGACTACAAAGACTTCAAGAAACTACTGCGGACGAAGAACAACATGCTTGCCCTCTATGTATCCAGCGCCAAGGAGGCTGCTGCCGAGTTGAAGGTATTTCGGGAGACAGCAGAAGCGATACGCGGCACAGGAACTATGTTGTACGTGGATTGCTCCAATCAGGAGCGCAAGAAGCTCTGCAAGAAGCTTAAAGTAACGCCCACACCGTATACACTGCGCCACTACAAGGATGGGGACTACCACAAGGACTACGATCGTCAGCTGAGCGTAAGCTCCATGATAACATTTATGCGCGATCCAGCAGGTGATTTACCCTGGGAAGAGGACCCTGCCGGTGCGGATGTGTTGCACTTTAGTGACGCCGCCGCATTTAGCAAACACTTGCGCAAGGATATACGGCCCATGCTGGTCATGTTTCATGTGCCGTGGTGCGGCTTTTGCAAGCGCATGAAGCCGGACTACAGCAAAGCAGCTACCGAACTTAAGGCACAGGGTGGATATCTGTTGGCCGCCATGAATGTGGAGCGACAAGAAAATGCTCCAGTGCGCAAATTGTTTAATCTAACTGGTAAAGTTTATGAATACATTCCTTTAATAACAATATGTAAAACCTGAATACAATTTTTGCAGGTTTTCCTACATTAATTTACTTCGAGAATGGAAAAATGCGCATGACCTACGAGGGCGAGAATACCAAGGAGGCACTAGTAGCATTTATGCTAAATCCCAATGTGAAGCCAACGCCCAAGCCAAAGGAACCCGACTGGTCGGCTGATACCAACTCAGAAATTGTTCATCTCACTACGCAGGGCTTTGAGCCAGCGCTAAAGGATGAAAAATCCGTGCTGGTCATGTTCTATGCTCCCTGGTGCGGCCATTGCAAGCGCATGAAACCGGAGTACGAAAAAGCAGCGCTTGAGATGAAGCATAACAATGTGCCAGGAATGCTCGCCGCACTGGATGCCACTAAAGAGCCGACCATTGGCGAAAAATACAAGGTTAAGGGCTATCCAAGTGTAAAATACTTTTCCTATGGTGTTTACAAATTTGATGTGAATGTGCGCGAGGCTACCAAAATAGTCGAATTTATGCGAGATCCGAAAGAGCCACCACCACCGCCGCCGCCAGAGAAGAGCTGGGAGGAGGAGGATGAGAGCTCTGAGGTCCATTTTCTTAACGATGAAACCTTTAGCTCGACACTGAAACGCAAGAAGCACGCGCTTGTTATGTTTTATGCTCCATGTATGTATTTTACGTATACCGAATGAACTTTATTAATTCTCTGTTTTAGGGTGTGGTCACTGTAAGCACACAAAACCGGAATTTACGGCCGCCGCAAATGCGCTGCAAGATGATCCTCGAGTTGCCTTTGTTGCCGTCGACTGCACAAAACATGCTGCCCTTTGCGCCAAGTACAATGTGCGCGGGTATCCCACCTTAATATACTTCTCCTACCTCAAAACGCAGCTCGAATACAACGGCGGACGTACCAGCAAAGATTTCATAGCCTATATGAACAATCCGCCCAGCTCAAAGGACCATAGCGAACTGTGATGAGTGTAAACAATCAATCATTGATGGAATCTCCAACATAATCTGTATTAATTTTGTATTTACAATGCCCGCTTTATAATTCCTAGCAATAATTTTCTAACATGTTAACTGCCTTTCAAGTTGGTTCAAATTGATTTCACTTAATAACCAATCGGACAAACATAAAAGCTGATTTTTTGTTTTTAAATTATTCGGAGCTTCGGAGTGCCGAATGCAAATCCTTAATAAATTGTTCATAAAGCAAATTCTTATCAAATGCATCTATTAATAATTAGTAAGCTCTACTGACAAAGGAAACGCCAGTTTTATTGCTCCCATTTTCAATTTTGGTTGTATAAGAGTGTGGCTCGTATTTATTTTTACATGTGTGTGTTGTATGTATAATTTTAATAATTTCTGATAAGTTGTTTAAAAAGAAAACAAAGTTCTAAACTTAATCAGGGTTTTTGGTAAAATATATATATATGTAAATTTTTATACGTGTTGTACATGTATGTAGCTATGTATAATCGGTTTCTTTAGTGTGGCACACAAGATTCAACATTTTAAATGCCTCCAAGTTGCGAATGCTATTTTATTGCACATTTGCACAGTTGATGAAATAATTTGTTAAGTTCTAGAAACTGGATGATCGATCCCTAATTGTTCATTGCTTCTATATGTATGTACTTATAAATGATTTACAACATAAGATGATAAGGGGGCTGTATTGCTGTTGGTGTTTCTTGCTGTACCTTCTTTTCTATCATAATCATAATTCTTAATTGATCTCTGGACACTGTCAGGAGGAACTGCAGCTCTCAGCGTTCGGCCTCATTGTCGCTATTGAGCTTGCGCCTGTGACGGCTGAGACTTCCCAGCCAGCTGCCGCGTTGCTCATTGGCCGTATACTCATCGTTGATTATTGTAAAGCTGTTGAACATATCTTTCATCTTGATGGCACGTGAGCAGGCATAGTTTTTGGTCGCCACATACATTTTGGTAAGGAACTCGGGCATTTGCTTTTGCGTTACCCATGACTTGATGTTCTGCGGTATGGGTATGCCCGGATCATCGTAGTAGGTGAGCACAAAGTGCAGTCCCGGCTCGTGGAATCCACGGAATGGCTTAATGACCATTAGGCTCCAGTAGTCAGTGACTCGCACCTTTCCGGAAATGGCTGGATATGTAGTATGCTTGGCAGCGCGACTGCAGATAAATATCATCTTTTTGCTTTCATCCTTGTGATACCGTCGACAATATACATAGTCCCGATTGGCAAAAAGTCGTGGCCATTGCATTTCCCAGTAAATTAGATGCGAATTGCTACCGGGCACTGGATCCTCGCTAATTAGCTCCAGCCTGAGTGCCGTATCGTCCCACTGCCTACGATAATCCAGATCCGTTTGCACATGTAGAAAATCATCGGCGGTGATGTCATCAAAACGTGCATACACCTTGTATGAGTAGAGCGAGCCGTGCTCCTCCCGCCGCCAAATACTAAACTCATTCTTACTAAAGTACGGCTCCCAGTTGCGATCCTCCTGCGCCTGTATGCGTACTTGGCCCTGAGGCGCACGTCCATCCAGATCCAACGATTTATGACAGTTGCTGATGCTGGCCGTTTGCTCCTCCTTAATCGCCGACTGATCGCTTTTGGGTGGCAGTACGACAACGCCGCCCTTCTTACAGCGCTGATTACCCAACATACAATAGCAGTACTTCATCTTTTTTGCCTGGCAGCGATCGCATAGCTGATTGACAGGCAGCGTATTTATGAAGTCAATATCCCGCTGACACAAATCAAAGTTTGATAGCGCCAGCCGCTCCTTGGCCCAGTCAAAACCGTCGCTTCCCGGCCTCTTCATATTGAGTCCCATGATGCCCACGGCGCTCAGCACAAAGCCCCGCAGCGGCGGCTGCAGTTCGCTGCGGTAATAGGCGCGCCACAGTTGCTTTAGTCCTTGCGTTCCATAGACGGACTGGTAGAAGCTGAGCAGCTGTTGCAGGCGGCGCGAGCGTTGCGCGAATATTGATTCGCATTGATAGCTCCAGGCGCGCAGGGTTTCTCTCGATTGATTTTTAATGGCTGAAATGAAACGGTTTAGCAGCATGGCGACCGGCTAATTGATTGTATTTCTGCTGGGCTGTACTGCTCAGGTGGGGGGATGCAGCGGTGCTTGCATAACAATCGGACAGCGGCAGCGGCTGTACTGTTATTAATGTTGCCTGTTCCTCCGCTACAAATTTTGACACACACCTCCTGTCACATTTGTTGCCTTGCCTTTCAACTTGTATAATTTTGTTTTCGTGCCCTTTTAATTGTTGACAATTTTTATGTATATAATATGGATTCACGTCGTTGTTGCTTTGTTATCAAGGCGCTCACATTTTATGTTCAAAACGTGCAACCTGCAATTTGTATCGTTGTTCGAATGTGTGTTGGAAAAGTCGAAAATTGTGCAGCTCGAATTCTGAGCAGGGTAAGCTGTCCAGCCAGTAACAGTTTTTGTTGTTATTTTCTATTCGAATAAACCAAACAGTATGTTAATATATAATTTTCACGGTGACATTTTTTTTTCATATTTTTTTTTACGGTCTGACAGTGACAAACAGTTCTTAGCTTTAAATATAGTTTGCTAGAATTCCTACATAGCATTGGAGAAAATTATAAAACTTATAAAGAATATATTTTGTGCTTTGACAATGCGTTTATTATTGTTATTAATGTCAAGCATATAAATTCAACTACAAATAAATATCTGTATCAAATGTCGGGCAAGAGATAAGATTATATCGGAGTTATAACTAAAAAAGTTTATGGTTTATTAAGAAATAAAACATTAAAATGTGTCATATAAAATTCTGTTGATTTTTACATATGTACCTTGCTTGCTCAGTCTGTTGCTTAAAACCGATTTTTCACGTTGTGCAACACTGTTCTTCCGAAACTCGTGCTCCTGCACATTTGTGAATGTTATTGTCACAGCTACTTCGCATGTAATTTGTTTTGCTAAGTAAATGCGTTAAACATAAATAAAAAGTCACGCCATGTCCGCGCGACGGCAACGCATTAAGGCAACTGCCAATCTAACTCAAATCAAGCGCAAGCCGCGCAGAGGCGATACAGATCCGGAACCACGAGCTGAGCCCGAACCCCTCCCAACCGTTCTCACCAAGCAGGAGCATCTAGAAGAGGATGCCGCTGAAGTTGCTTTTAAAATGCCCGCTGCCAGTAGCGCAGGCCAATTGGATGATGTGTTTCATTCTGATTTGGAGGATAATGTGATTCAAATGGATTTGCAGAAGAGTTCGAGTGGATTCCCCATGTCACCCAGTAAGGCGCAGGCACGCCAGCGGTTGCGACCCACTCCTGTTTTTGGGCAGCGACGCAACAGCTTTGTGGGCTCGCCCCTGGCGGCAGATTTAGATGGTGACTATCAGTCACCTGGCACTCCAACAAGACGTGAGCGTTACCTAAGCGGATCATCAGTGAGTGGCGGGAGCGGGACGCCGCAGCAGGTACAGGCATCGCCCAAATACTTTCCAGGTGGTGTTATGAGTCCGGGCATGGGCCGCATACGCACCGAGTCCAGTTGTTCTGTTTACTCCGACAGTGGTGGAGGCGGCGCCAAACAGCGCAAAGGAGAGGGGGACAAGGCACAAACTCAGGCGCAGCAGCGCGTTAATGCAAAGCGAGATTTCGAGACGCGCTTTAACAAGGGCATACCCGATAAGTCGACATTCAAAATGTTTGACATGATCTTTTATAATCCCGAGAGCAATCCAATGGAGCAAAAGCCCGTTGTGACCACCATCAAGGCGGAGGCAAGTGGCAGCGCCAGCGTCAGCGACATCTCAGATGAGTCAAAGCCCACCTCGGCTGAGCTGCTGGAGACCAAAACGGAACCAGCATCAGCAACTGCAGCAATGCCGGTGCCACAACTAAAACTTGATGCTAATGGGGAGATGATAATAGACGAGAAAACCCTGGAGATTGAAACCACCGCCGAGGTGGAAGCGCGCAAGGTTTTGGCAAACTCGTCGCTGATTCTCATGGATGAAACAACCGGCGACAATGGATTTTATAAGCGGCATAAACGTACGCCCACCTGGACATCGGATGATACGGTGCGCTTCTATCGAAGTCTACAAATCATTGGCACCGATTTCTCCCTGATGTGCCAAATGTTTCCCAAGCGCACTCGACGCGATCTTAAGCTCAAGTACAAGCGCGAGGAGCGCATTAATGGGCAGCTAATTAATAAGGCGCTGCTCTACCCAAAAGCATTCAATATTCAGGAGCTCAAAGATCAACTCGAGCAGGAGGATCGCGAGCGGGCTGAGGCAGATCGCGAGTGGCAGGAAATCGTTACAGCTCAAGCGGAAAATACCAAAAAGGTTTATGAAATGGACAAACTAGACCATTCTTTTTTTTAAGCCTAATATCTTAGCTAACTTTTTAAACTGAAATCATTTTTATTGCAGCGCTCGAAGTCGCAACACAGCAAAGCGGCACGCACCCTCAGCGATGGCGATCTGGTGTACGAGAACGAGCACGTGACCAAGCAAAAGCTGGGCAAGCATGCGCTGGCCAAGCGCCGTGCTGCGTTAGATAGCCAAAGTGGAGCGGAAGCACCAAAGCGTAAGCGTCGACCCCTAAAACAGCAACTGGAACAGGATCAGGCGCAGCTGCGAAACGTCAAGCAAAAATTGCAGCAAAAGTTGCAGCAGAAGGTGCAGCAGCAAGAGAAAGAGCAGTTGGAGACGCAACAACCAGTTCCCGTGCACATTTTACGAGTGTTTCCTCCTGCTATTAAAAAAGAAAAGGAAATGGAAACGGAACAAATAAGCAGTGATCCTTTGATCGAGACCAAGGCTGAGCAGTTGCAACAGGAGCTTAACTCTTTGTTGGACGAGGGACAGAATGAGATCAACGACAAGTCCGGGTTGCGCGATCTGGACGATGCTGCGCTTAACTATGTGAGCGACGTGGACACGGTCACAGATAGCGAGACGGTTTATACTCCAGAGACGGACACAACATATATTGTTGATTTTATTTCGGAGACACCTGCGTTAGAAAGTCCCAACACGGCGAGTGTAAGCGAGCACGATATTGAACAAATACTGACCGAACTGTCGGAGGGCTCAATGGTGTTGGTGTCCTCGTTGGATGCAGAGCAGGAGGAT